AGGAATACATGTGAGGACGACTGTAGATCCAAACTATTAAATTAACCACCAATAATCAGTTCTGTCTAATCGGTCCAATAGAATTCACCTAAACTAAATATTTAGGTTTCAGACGGAGCGAGACGTGAACATGTGGCCTTGTGAGTGTTTATTCAGTCAAGCTGAGTTGTGATTGGCTGATGAGAAACACAACATGATCAGCGTTAGAAACTCAGACGAGCTTTAAAAGTCGTTCAAAATGCACCAAAAACGGTTCAGGAAGCTATTTTGAGATGCATGACGACTCATCCAGGTCCGGTTCTGTTCTCCAGGGTTTAGTCGTAGAGTTGGATTATTTTTTTAAAGCAGCTTGTTGTCGTCATTGTCGTCATTTTTTAGGTTTCACTTCTCAAATCAAACACGCGTCTGCGTCCACGATGTGATTTCCAGGCTTTTCTTTCCAGTCATGTGAGAGTGAAGTCAAACTGCTCGGTCCGCTTACAGCCAGCTTAAAGCAGCATTTAGAGTCTGACAGCAAACTAGAACCACATCACACGAAGCTGCAGCAGCAAATTAACACAACAAAAAAGAGTTCATTTAGTAAAACCTGCTGTTAGGAGAAAGACCAGAGAGTAAGAAAGCAAAGATTTGTTTATGTCAAACGATTGCACATTTTAAATGGTCTAGTTTATTTAGTATGGATAATCATATTATTTAAACACAGAAATGTCCGTGTGTTGCTTTATTTATATCGTTAAACAACTAAAAAAGAAGAGACGGATGTATTTGGACAGAATTTCTCTGTTTCTAAAGTAGGTTCAACGTGACAAAACGTTGATGAAGCTTGAATCAGTGCTTGTTTTGTCAAACTAACAGCAGAAAAAACACCCAAATATTCAGTTTATTAACATGTAAGTCAAAGAAAAGCAGAAAATGATCACGTTCAAGAAGCTGGAAGCAACTTTTAAAGATAAATTAATTATCACAAAAGAAAAGTCTGAAATGTTTCAACTCCTTGATCCAGAGGAGGCGCTTTAGAAGAACCAGGTGTCCGACAGGTGAAGAAGCAGAGAACGGCAGCGAATCACCGCGTTAGAAGTCCATTTGTTCAGGTCTCGAGATTCATCAGCGTTCACATCAGAGCTGCTCAGTTAGTGTTCAGCTGTTAAAGGAATGGTTTGAGTTTTGTCAAGAAGTCTAAATTGTTTGATGCTGGCTCTTCAATACGACTATTTTCATTTTTTTTCTTTTATGAGCTCAATATTTCAGCTGTTTTTCAGGTTAAATCCAGACTAATTATCAATGATATCGATAATCAGCTGTTGACTGATCGTATGAAAGCTCTTGAATGTGTGGTTGGAAGAACTGTGGAGGATGTCTTATGAAGGAGAATTTGACATTTGAGACGATACCATCAACACAAACTGCCTGAAGCACGTTCTCATGTGAAACCCGAGGCGGCGTCTTATCAATAAACATCTGACTGTCAGAGTTTCAGGAAACAGCGAGTGACTAAAACGTACCGACAAGAGTTCAGAACTCACGTTTTCCTCGTTGGTTCAGGCGAGGAGGTGGAAATCAGTTTGTTCTGTCGTTGACTCGATGCTTCATGACAAATAGAAACCAGACGAGATCGATAACAGAGAAAAGGGCTTCAGCCAAAACCTGCATTTAAACATTCAGGTGATCAGGAGGACGATGATCTCCTCTGAGCTGTGACAGCTTTCTGTTTCTCTCCACAAACTGACACCAACTTCATTTAAAGACAATCAGTGAAAACATCTGTATCTCTGTATCATCTGTCAGAGCTGCAGCCATGAACTGATTAACGACTGATTTCAGCTTCTTCAGTGAATGTTTTCTGGTTTCTTTCCTCCTTTGTGACAGTAAACTGAAGGTCTTTGGACTAAACGAGACATTTGAGGAAACTCTGATCGATGTAAACAACTATTAGATTCATCTGGGACGCATTTAGTGACGTTTTTGTAATAAAAAGCAGCAGACGTGTACGTTAGAGAAGCTGGAAAGTATTTTCTGATTCACAGTTAGAGCTGCAGCGGTTTAGTTGTGAGCTATCAACTGTTTTGATCATCAATTTATTCATACTCATCAGTTTAAGACGTTTTTTAAATATAAAAACACTTTGATTTCAGGGTTTGCAGCTTCTTAAATGTGATCTTTCGACATTTTCTACCATTTTTTGGACATTTTAGAGCCCAAACAACTGATAAATTCATCCAGAAAGTCATTTATTTGTGATAAAAGACAAGAAACAGCAGCAGATGTGTACATTTGATGGGCTTATCAGAATATTTGCTGATTCACAGTTAAAGCTGCATCCATGAGTCCATTAACAGATAAACGGACGGCTATGAAATTAATCTGCAACTGTTTGAAAAGTTGATTTCAGATCCTTCTGGTGATATTTTCTGGTTTCTTTCCTTCTCTAT